CACTGTGCCTGGCTCAAATCTATTTGTGGATAATAACACTAATCCATTTCCGTGGGAGTTCTTTTCAGGTCTTTATAGCACTGGTAAAATGGGGAGAATGATAGTTTGCTTGTGTTTCTGACTGGTCCTTTTACATTTTTGTTTACACATTTGTTTATGTGATTGTACCTGTTATTTTCTATGATTCTCTGCCTGTGACAGGTCTCCCTGAAAAACAGGGAAATGTTCTGAGTTGGGGAATAATATGTTTCATAAAAAAAGATGTAGTTTTAAAACTAGTAAGAAAAGTGTAATCTTCAACAGATTCTCATATTGTCTGTGATCTCCCACTTATCTTCAGAACATGTTAAACTATATCTCTGGAATAGGGCTTGATATAGTTTGGCTGTATCCCCACCCAAATCTCATCTTGACTTGTAGCTCCCATAGTTCCCATGTGTCATGGGAGGGACCTGGGGGAGGCAACTGAATCATATGGGTAGGTCTTTCTCATGCTGTTCTTGTGATAATGACAAAGTAAGTCTCATGAGATCTGATGGTTCTATAAAGGGGAATTGCCCAGCACACACCCTCTTGTCTGCCACCATGTAAGATGTCCCTGTGCTCTTTCTTTGTCTTCGCTGTGATTGTGAGGCCTGCTAAGCCATGTAGAACTGTGAGTCCACTAAACCTCTTTCTTTTTATAAATTACCCAGTCTCATGTATGTCTTTATTAGCAACATGAGAACAGACTAATACAGGGTTTTAGCTACATGTGTTAATAAGGTAAACTAAGGCACACTAAAGATATTTAAAAGTTTATTTGCAAATGATGGTTCATAAATTGGAAAGCTTCAACCTGAGGTGGTTTAGGAGCTTTACTGAGGGAATGCAATGGGGACACTTTTATAGGACAGACACAGGAGAAAAGCAAAAGACAGAATAGACCAAATAAGGCACCTTTATAGCTAACCAATCAAACGTTTGGCTGTCCTGTTGGCTGTGTTTGATTAGTTGAGTTTAAGTTCTATTTTCCTTAATATAGGCATTTATAAAAAATTGTTCAAGTTAGTTTTGCTTACCTTTGTAAATCAAGGAGTTTTAGGGTCATATGTGACTTAAGTAAGTGACTTTATCTGCCTAGGGATTCTTCAGGAATGGTCTTCATTTTAATTTACTTGGTCACATGGGACATAGTTTTGGTTGGCGTTTCTTTCAGAAGCACAACTTTTTCAGAAACTCAGTTTTTGAGTCTACTTAATTCCAATCAGCTTTACATACAAGCAAACAAGTCACAGTTTTTGTCTGGTCTTCTGCTTCTTATATTTGCTATATTTGATTGGTTTTTTCACCCCTGTGCTTTTCTCTCTGGACTTAATATCAGACACTTTAAATAATACAAGGCTTAAAGCATTATAAGGCTTCACACCATAAAACACTAACAAAAATAAGCTAAAATAATTATTTTAATATATGTAAAATAGATTTTAAGAAAAGACATTAGAATAGAAAATGTCACTTCATGTGAGTAGAGGGTATATTTGCCATGAAGATACTACAGTTCTAATGCTTTATGCACTAATCAGCATGGCATCAAACTATGTAAAGTAAAAGTTGACAGGACTTCTAAAAGAAACAGGTAAGTTTCTTTATCTGCCTAGGGATTCTTCAGGAATGGTCTTCATTTTAATTTACTTGGTCACATGGGACATAGTTTTACATTAGAATAGTTTTCATAGTTTTACATAGAATAGTTTAACATTAAACAACAGATAATAGAATAAGAAGACAAAACTCAGAAAAGATAAATAAGATTTAAAAAATATGACTAACAAATAGATGTAGTGGATGTATGAAACACTGCACCCCCAAACTACAGGATACTCATTACTTTCAGCAAACACAAACATTTATTAAAATTGACCATATATGCATAACATAAATTTTAGCAAAGAAAATTCTATGTAAATGGAAACTTAAACATATATTTTAAAAATAGTCCATGGAGGAAAAAAATCACAATAAAAATTAGAAAAATTTAAAAATAAGTATAATAAAATATAATAAAACCTTGTGAAAAATGATTAAAAATTCTTAGAGAAAAACATATACCAGGAAAATAACAGTGAACATACTCAAAGGAATAAAACTAATTAAATCACAATGTAAGAGGGGAAATTGGTGAAAGATAACACATTTGAAAAGATCAACCAAGACAGATTTGAATAGACTAATAAAACAAGCAAACTTCTGATAACATAGATTATGAAAAGAAAAGCAAATAATATGAAGAAATTCAGGGATATAGTCTGTTGGTATCAAAATTTAATAAGATGATGTTATAATCAAAATTACATAAAAATATAAATAGCTGAAACTGACAAATGTCTAGAAAATTGTAACTGCCAAAACCAGACCAGAAGAAATAGGTAACTGAATAGTTTCAGGTCAAGATCGTAGAAATGTATGCTGATGTATCCAATAATAAGTTACATGTTAAAGAATGTTTGTAGCATCACCATCCTCATAGTTTCCAAACTCAAAACAACCCAATTTTGTATTTCTACTAGACTAGATAAATTGTGAATTATTTTATTAATACTATGTAATTGTTGAATAAATAATCTGTCTCCACATGCAACATGATTAATTTTAAAAACATAATATTGATTAAAAATGGCTAAATTTAAAAAGAGTATATACAGTATTATTCCATTCATTTACAATCCAAAACCAGGCAAAACCAAACTGGTGGGTAGGGATACATATTGGAACGTCAAATTCACAAAGTTAAACAATGAAGTAATTCGAATCGCAGATAGTTGTTATTTCTGGAACGAAGATAGTGATTATGATTAGAAAGGAGCATATAAGGTATTATGGGGCTAACACAGTTCCCTTTCTTGACATGGGAGGTGTTTAAATTAGTGTGCACTTTATAATATAGCATTTATACTTCATAAAATGTTCTATATTTGTTATATATAACAATAATAGGCAGTAAAATATGAAAAAGAGAAAAGAAATATTTCTAAACAAATGATATGAGGTTAGCTAAGTCTTAATACCAAATCCTGATAGGCACAATATGAGAAATGAAAATTGAATATCAATATATTCCTTATAAACATAGAGGCACATATTCTAAAACATTGGTAAACTGAATCTATCAGTGGCTTAAAAAATACTTTACATGGTCAAACCTTTGAGGGTGTCCTCTTCTTGCCCTTTGCCTCGTTTTTCTTTTCACTGCTGAAAACGTCATTCTGTGATTTTTCCCTAGCATCGATTCTCTTTCTCTTATAAAAGTCAGAGACTGCCTCTAAGATTAAATTTATATTTTTAAATATTTTTTGGAAACACACCAGGAACATGCAGCTCAGAACCACAAGCCTACTATCCATTCTCTAGGTCTTTGTCATGCGTTATGTCACAAGTCCTAAAAAACTATGGTATTTTTTTCTTATGCAAGCACTGTCCCATTCCTCAGGTGACCTATTTTTGCAGATATTGGGTATTGGCAACTTGGGACTGGCATCTCCAAACTCTTTCCTCTAGATAGATAGGAATGCAAAAGTATAAAAAAATCTCTTCAGGCCTGGGTCAAGAGTGCAAATGGAAGACCACATACCACATGGCTAGATATTTAAAGGGCATATGTATATAAAGCTCTGTTAAAGGACATATTTTCTATTCTATCTTGACAAATATACAATCATAACAACAAAATAGAAAATATTTACCTAGCTATTTTGAGTTATACTTGCAACTTGCAAATCATCAAACATGATGCAATTAAATTATTTTGAAAATATTGACTGTTCTGTAGATCACCCAGTAAAGATCGCATGCAAATAAAATACAAATATTTATAATTCACAAAAGTAGTTTTTTCTGCCTCCAGCAAAATGGCTGCTCATTATCTTATAATCAAGATAACAGAGTATCTTATTTACATTAATTTTGAACTAGACAATCTTTCTTAAATCTCCACATTTTCAAAATGTTGATAAGTTTTTTTTTTTTTTTTGGTATTCTTTGAGAGAATGGAGTGGGTCGAGGAACCTTGACTTTTCACAGTAAACACAGTTGTCTACTCTTATCTGCAGTTTCAGTTACCCACGGTCCACCACAGTAAAAAAATAGGTGTGTGCAGTACAGTAAGATAACTGAAGAGAGTGAGAGATGCCACAATATGTAACACCTTTAACATTTTTTTACTCTTTATTTTTTAAATTTTTATTTATCTTAGAGACAGAGTATCCTTGTGATGCTTAGGCTGGTCTCAAACTTTTGGGCTCAAGCAATCCTCTTGCCTCCCAAATCACTAGGATTACAGGCATGAGCCACCACCCCTGGCAACTTTTATTATAGTATGTTGTTTTAATTCTACAATTTTATTCTTAATTATTTTTATAAACTTTTACTGTGCTTGATTTCTATATCAAACTTTATCATATGTGGGTGAATACAGGAAAACATTTATTATATAGAGAGTTTGGTAGAAACTGCTGTTTCAGGCATCCACTGGGGGTCTTAGAACATATCCTTCGTGGATAAGGGGACACTAGCATTTCTGTTTCTTTGCTTGGTTGTCGGTTTTGTAACTTATGACATAATGCAGTACTGTTATCTTTGGTAGCTGTTACTGATTTTGTTAAATTTATTTTTTATTCACTTTTAAGTTTAGAAAACAAATATGAGGGGAAAAGTGGGTAAAATATGAAGGCACTTGGTGCCTATGGGGGATGGTGGTGAGCACCGCTAATTAGTGAAGAGGCAGGGAATGAGAAAGATGGATGCTCTGCAGACGAGCTTCTCTTCAGTCACAGTATTGACAAGATCCAGCTTTAGCTCCACAAGAAATTGAGCATTCTTTTGAAATAGTGTAGATCTGTCTTTGCATGTTTTGTAAATCTTCATTGGCTGTGCTATTAGCCATAAAAGCTGCATTTAGCTACATATTCTACGAATCATGCAGTATTTGTACTCAGAACTCAAGCTGGTTGATTCAAATTTTCTACAGCCCAGACAAGGCAGAAGGTACAAAACAATGAAAGAGAATATATCTTTATTTGCATGGTTGCAAATGTGAGTTTAACTTTGCTTCATAATCATCTATGAAATATTTCTGCCGATAGCGAAGACATAAATATCTTATCTAGGGCTCAGCAGAGAAATTGAAGAAAAATAAAGATTTCACCAGAACAGCCATGTGAAGATTGATCAGCGAACTTTAGAGATTTCTGCTTTGACATTGAGCCAACAATGAAAGAAGGAGTAGAAAAAGGAGAAGGAAGAAGAACTTCGCTGTACCCTAAAAAATCTGAATAACATTTTAGATCAGTGAATAACCAGCAGTGACATGAGACTCTGGACTATCTCTGTTCTGACATGGAAAGTGTCCTGCAGAGTATCTTCACTCTTGTAATAATTGCAGAATTCATAATTGGGAATTTGAGCAATGGATTCATAGTACTGATAAACTGCACTGAATGGGTCAGTAAAAGAGAGTTGTCCTCAGTTGATCAAATCCTCATTATCTTGGCAATCTCCAGAATTGGGCTGATCTGGGAAATATTAATAAGTTGGTTTGTAGTTCTGCATCATCCAGCCAGTCTTATGGATGGAACAGTTTTAAAAACTGGTATATTTAGCTGGACAGTTTCTAATCACTTCAGTCTCTGGCTTGCTACAATCCTCAGCATCTTTTATTTGCTCAAAATAGCCAGTTTCTCTAACCCTGCTTTTCTCTATTTGAAGTGGAGAGTAAACAAAGTGATTCTGATGATACTGCTAGGAACCTTGGTCTTCTTATTTTTAAATCTGATACAAATAAACATTCATATTAAAGAATGGCTGTATCGATGTGAAAGAAACACATCTTGGAATTTCAGTATGAGTGACTTTGCAACATTTTCAGTGTCGGTCAAATTCACTATGACTATGTTCAGTCTAACACCATTTACTGTGGCCCTCATCTCTTTTCTCCTGTTAATTTTCTCCCTGCGGAAACATCTCCAGAAAATGCAGCTCAGTTACAAAGGGCAGAGAGACCCCAGGACCAAGGCCCACATAAATGCCTTGAAAATTGTGATCTCATTCCTTTTACTCTATGCCAGTTTCTGTCTATCTATGCTCATATCATGGATTTCTGACCTGTATCAGAACAAACTGGTTGAGATGCTTTGTCAGACAATTGGAGTTTTCTATCCTTCATGCCACTCCCTTCTTCTGATTCTAGGAAACCCCAAGTTAAGACAGGCCTCTGTTTCGGTGGCAGCTAAGGTATGGGCTAAACAATGAGAAACCCACAATTTCATAAGTCATTCAGATCATAGATTATGGTACGTTGTATAAAGAAACAGGAGTCTATGAGGAGTTTAAAAGATATTTTATATTTTCCTGGTTTATTCTATTGTGAAGGTCATTGCAAATTTTAAGATTCTTCTCGATAATTGCAAGTTAATTAAGAATATTATGTATTTATGATGTATATTTCTACATTATCAGGAATTTGAAACGTATGTGAGGAAATTATTGGTAGATTCCATTGTAAATGTAAAATATATACTGCAGCATACTTACATTAATTGTAAATCTACAACCTTTTGTTTGGTAGTGAATCTCAATTCTAAATCACTCATTCGGACGAGTAATTGCGGTAATTATTTTCTTATATCGTGGACTCCTATTGAAATGGTAAATTATGGATAACTAGAACAGAAATAAGGGAAGTTTGAACTTGCAACCATTACTACACTTATGGGTTGAGAGAATTGAGAAGGTTAGAAAGTTTAATATGAATAACTGCCACATGAAAAGATAACTTTGTCTTTTAGTAATTATATTGTGTATATGTGTACATGCATATTTTATATTATGCATTTTAAAATAAATATTATTGAGGTAGAATTTACATATAATATAACACAACATGTTAGTGCACGTTTTAGAGTTTTGACAATGTATACACCTGTGTGACCACAGCGCCAATGCCCTTTGCAGTCCATCCTCTCCTCACCAGCCTTTCCTTCCAAGCAACTACTTATCTGCTTTGGTAACTATAAGAGAGTTCTTTGATTTCTAGAATTTTATGCATAGACACACACACACACACACACACACACACACACACACAGTCATAGTGTGTGTACTGTTATATATGAGGCTTCGTTAACTCAGCATGTTTTTGAGGTTCATTTATTTTGTTGTACCGATCAGTAGTTTGCTCCTGAGCAGTATTGGATACACCACATTAAAACATTTCTCTTTCCTGTTAGTGGACATTTGAATGGTTCTCAGTTACTGGTCATTATAAATAAAACTGGTATCAACCTTCATGTGTGTCTCTTCTTCTGGATATACAGTTTCATCCCTCTTGAGTAAAACTGAGTAAAACCTATGAGTAAAACTGTCAAATCATAAGGTAAGTGTATGTTTAACATGAACAAAAAAACTGCCAGCGTTCTGTAGAGTGGTTGCCTCATTTCATATTATTGCTAGCAATATACAAATGTTTCAGTTCTTTTACATTCTGGCCAACAATTGGTACATCCTCTGTTTTATTTTGTTTTTTTATTTTGGCCATTCTAGTCAGAATGTATTGGCATCTCATCATAGTTTTAATTCACATTTTCCTGATGGATAATGAGGCTGAACATTTTTTCATGTGCTTTGGGTCATTCACAAAATCTCTTTTTATGAAATGTTTATTTAAACCTTTTGCCAGTTATCTAGCTTGATTTATGGCTTTCTGTTTTTATTACTGAGTTATAAAATTTCTTTATGTAGTCTCTGCATTAGTCCATTTTTCTGAGGCTAATAAAGACATACTCAAGATTGAGTAACTTACAAAGAAAAAGAGGTTTAATTGACTCAGTTCTGCATGGCTGGAGAGGCCTTACAATCATGGCAGAGGTGAAAGGCACGTATTACATGGCAGCAGTCAAGAGAGAATGAGAGCCAAGCAAAAGGGGAAACCCCTTATGAAAACGTAAAAAAGTCATGAGACTTATTACCTACCACAAGAACAGCTTGGGGGAAACCACCCCCCATGATTCAACTGTCTCCCACTGAGTCCCTCCCACAATATGTGGGAATTACAGGAGCTACAATACAAGATGAGGTTTGGGTGGGGACACAGTCAAACCTTATCAGTCTGAATATAAGTTATTCATCAGACATAAGTTTTATAAATATTTTCTGCCAGCCAGAGGCTTGTGATTTCATTTTTCTTACAGTGTCTTTCAAAGAGAGGACATTAAAAACTTTTGATGAAGTTCAATAGTCAATTTTTTTCTGGCAAGAAAATTATTTTTAACTTATTTTGCTTATAAAATTCAAGGATTTTTTTAATGGATCAGTTGGAATGTCTTTCTGGTAGAATGATTTATTTTCTTGTGCACATATACCCAGTAATTGGATTGCTAGGTTGAATGGTAGTTTAAGTTCTTTGAGAAATCTCCAGTCTGCTTTTTACAGTGGCTGAAGCAATCTGCATGCTCACCAACAGGGTATAAGTGTTCCCTTTGCTCTGCAGTGTAACTGGCATCTTTTTTATATTATTATTGTTGTTTTGTTTTTTAATTTTTTTAGAGTAGCCATTCTGTCTGGTGTGAGATGGTACCTCCGTGTAGTCTTGATTTGCATGTCTCTTAGTGATGCATTTGCATGATTAGTGATGTTGAATATTTTTAAATGTTTGTTGGCTGCTTGTGTGTCTTCTTTTGAGAAGTGCCTGTCATGTTTATTACCCATTTTTAAAGGGGTTATTTGTTTTCTGCTTGCTCAATTGTTTCAGTTCCTCATAGATTTGGGATATTAGACCTTTATTGCATGCCTAGTTTGCAAATATTACATTCTGCAGGTTGTCTATTTACTCTGTTGATAGTTTCTTTTGATGTGTGCAGAAGCACTTTAGTTAATTAGGTCCTACTTGTCAGTTTTTGTTTTTTAGTGCAATTGCTTTTCAGGACTTAGTCACAAATTCTTCCTCAAGGCCAATGTTTAGAATGGTGTTTCCTAAGTTTTCTTCCAGGATTGTTGTAGTGTGAAGTCTTGCACTTAGATTTTTGATCCATCCTGAGTCAATTTTTGTATAAGGTGAAAGGTGAGGTTCAGTTTTATTCTTTCACATATGGCTAGCCAGTTATCCTAGCACCATTTATTGAATGGGGAGTCCTTTCCCCATTGTTTATTTTTGTCAACTTGGTCAAACATCAGATGGCTGTAGATGTGTGTCTTTATTTCTGGGTCCTCTATTCTGTTCCATTGATCTATAGATCTCTTTTATACAATTAGCATGCTGTTTTGATTACTGTGGCTTTATAGTATAGTTTCAGGTCAGGCTATGAGAAAATGCCTGATTCTAAGAATTTTGAAGTAAGTTTTGACATTCTCTAGACAATATCCAATTATTTCTGCCAGTCCTGTGCCATCTTCCTTAGTGTCTTCTTTTCCTCAAGGTAGTCAACTTCTCCCACCCCATTTTCCTCTGGATGAAATGGAGAATTCACATGGTGCTTCTTTTTATTGTACTAGAGGCAATGATCTCTTTCTGTACAATTTTCATTTTGAAGGAAATAATAATTAATAGTTTAAGAATGGTAACAACAAAAGGCAACTTGACATTTAACTATATGGAGACCATGCAAGATTTCACTTCCTGGTTCCTCCTTCACAGGATGTTCAACCTTCCTTTTGTGGAAACACTGGTCTCCGTTCTTCCCTTAATCCTCTCCTAATGGAGCCACACCAGACAGATGAAGCTACACAATGTTTATTCCAGGAATCCCAGCACTGAAGCCCATGTCAGAGCTATAAAAGCTGTAATTTCATTTCTACTCCTCTTTATTGTACATTATTTCATCAATATCATACAGGCCTATTTTATTCTAGACAGTGTTGTGGCAAGGACTTTCAGTAGTGTGCTAGTATTTTTCTATCCATCTGCCCATTGATTTCTTCTAATTTTTTGAGAAAGGAAATTGTAGCAAGCTTCTCTTTGTGTCCTGAAGAAGTTAAGTAAGCCAATAAGGACAAAATCTTTCATTTTATAATCATACCTGATATGAGTGATGATATTCTGAGAAAGAAAAAAAGAAAGAAGAACAGGAGGGCCACACATTTGCCTATTTCACCTACCTTTTTTCTCATTACATTCTATGATATATTGAGCTTTATTGAAAATATTTGCTGAATTAAATGAAGCAGAAAAGATTGCTACCTTGTTTGTACCATATATGGAGATTGTGTATTTAATAGTGAAATTCCAGTATACTGATAATGCACTTTACATTAGGCACTGTGAACAATATAATACTCTGTTTTTAAACTTTATTAATATGTTGCATAAATATTAGAATAGAATTGAAATACATCAAGAATTATAATATATATTTATGTGGATAGTATATATAAAATCAGATTTACATGTATCAACCCATATAGATTGAGTTCCTATCCTAAAAATAATGATCAATTGATAATTTAAAACTAGGAAGGAAATCCCAAATGAAAATAGTTAGTAGTGTCTACAGCTTAGTGAAAACTTTGAGAATATGAATCAAAGTCAATTGTAATGCACATCACTAAGGGTTATTTCCAAATATAAGCCCCATTCTATTAATATTTTCTGTCATTTTCAGTTAAAAGCATTAAGTAACCTTGACCTTCAAGAATGTTACAATTTTGACCATCTACAGCAGACTTGGACTCTAAAATCTGAGTCTTTGGAGTGACAATAAAATTTTACTTAATTGCTTAACTGTGTAATGAAAGCAAGGGCATATATCAAAAAATCAGCATATATCAAAAAATTTTAAGTAATCAAAATTGGAGGACTGCTGTTGGAGTCTAGTGTAGAGTTATCAGGTTTGGTAAACAAGAAATACAGAAGGCCCAGGTGATAGTAACGAATGGAGGATCTCATTTTATGAAAGTCACTATGTAAGAATAAATAAAAATAAAGGTTTGAAAGAAAAAACAAACCAGGGATAACCACTCAGATTACAGAATTAAATTTAATAAGAAGGACTTTTCTTAAAAATGTAATTAGAAAGCGTGTAAAAATAGCAGGCTAAATAAAAGAACAAAATCACAACTTTAAGATTAAAAAGTAACAGAAACTAAAAATGAAATAATTGGGGGCAGATTTTGAAGAACAATTATCTTTTCTCTAAAAAAGGAAAGAACATATTGTGAAGAAATAATATAGTTTTCAGCAGTAAAGTCAAAAGACAAATTTTCAACATTGCAGAAAGTGTTTTAAAAAGACCTATGCAACTATCTTGCATGTTCTGCAC